TTCAAGGGAGGTCTAGTTCTGGTAAATTTAAGCATCACAACCGTGAAGCCCGAGGGGTGCCGGGGTGAACATCTTCAGTCGGCCACGGCGTTCACACTCGTCTGCAGAAGCACTGACTTAGGCACACATGCTGAGCGTGGGAAGGGGGAGGCAGCTTGAGCGCACGCGAGATACTGCTGCTCCACCCCATGTACTTTATGGTTTGGGGTCCTAGAAGGGACCTAAGTTGTAGAGTCGGGCGCTAAAAGATCCAGAATATTCAGTCAGGAGAGCTCTCAGCAGTTCTTTTTTCGGACAACGGGATAATTCTCGGGGATTTCAAGGCTCTAATCAGCGTAAACCATTTCATCTGTGAAAGTGTGATTGATTTCCACAGGTTCACCTGTTGGGTGATGTCCGTTTTTCCTCCTCCTCTGATAGGGGTTTTATAGATAGGGTATACGAAACTGATAGTTTTTTTTTCAGGGGACAGAGTTAAATGTATGTACAACATTCGTATGTTTAAATAAACCAATAAAGCATATAAGAGCCAGCGCACAGGTTGAAATACTGAAAATCAGCAGCTGCAAGCTAGTGAGAACATGAAAATCGAAGGCCTTTGGTTGGATATTAGAGGCGAACTGATTACCACGCGTGATGACCAAACACATTAAAGTAAAGAGCGTTAAGATTATGTCGTTAAATAAGCTCTTCTTGATGGCTGTGACAGAAGATATAATTGAAGTTGGCAACACTGATAGCCTAAACCTTAACCATAAAACCTGATCCTAAAGTGAACGCTAATATTAATTGTAACAAATGAGGGATACGTGATTGAAAATAAGGGGCAGGGAAGGGTTGTTAAAGTAAGCCTATCCAAATAGCATGTTTCATAGAAGTATAGGCTAGACGGGGCCACCGGCGGTTAAAACAGCAGCGCAGTCGAAGCTCAGTGTAGGACAAAGTATCTTAAAACAAACTTCTGTCTGCATAATTTCAGCAAGTACCATGAACACTTCTGACACTTCTGTGTCATTAACAAATAGTAGACTG